GGGGGGGACGGAGCCAGCGGCCCCGGGCGGGGTGAGGGAGTTCCCGAGGGATGCAACGGGCGAGCGCGAGGGAGGAAAATGCACACAGAGGGGAGTCCTGCTCGTACATGGTTGCGGTCTTGGCGCTCAAACGGCGGGGTCCCAATCAGAAACTCATAGACCAGCACGCCGAGGGACCATTCATCGACGCTGGCGTCGTAGGACTTGCGCTCGGCCATCTCCGGCGGCAGGTAGTCCAGTGTCCCGCAGAAGGTGTCGCGCCGGCCGCTGGCGGTCCCACCGGCCTGGGAAGTCCCAGTAGCCCCGGGCGCCGGAGGCGAGTGCACGCTCCAGCCGAAGTCCGCCAGCTTGACATCCCCTCGAACATCGACCAGGATGTTTTCCGGCTTCAAGTCCCGGTGAATAACATGGCACGAGCGAAGATACGCCAGGGCCGAGGCAATCTGGTAGATGTAGAGGGCAGCCTGCGGCTCGGCAAAGCGCCCGGCCGCCCGAAGGAGCTGGAACATCTGCCCCTGGGAGGCATATTCCAGGATCAGGTACACGCGCCGGCTGTCAAAGAAGTTCCCATACAGGCGCAGGACATGCCGGTGACGGATGTTCGATTGGATTTCAATCTCTCGGCACAGCTGCTGCTCCATGTTGTACTGGCGGATCTCCGACTTGTACAGGACCTTGATGGCCACCACATAGCGCGTGGACTTCTCCAGGGCCAGGAAGACCACGCCATAGCGCCCGGCCCCGAGGCGCTGGCCGAAGAAGAAGTCGTCCTTGGTCCAGACGCGTGGTGCCGCGGCCAGCGGGTTGGCCCCGGCGGAGGGCAGGGCATCGGCTGGCAGGGGCGGCCGCGAGGCCGGCGTCACGCCTGTCGTACTTGTGCCACTGGCCGTGGACGTAGAGCCGGCGGCGGAGCCGGTGGCGGCCGCGGTGCTGGTGGCGGCCGCGGTGCTGGTGGCAGCCGCAGCAGGCCCGGCGGCGGGGGCACTGATGGCAGTGGCAGGAACAGGGCCAGAGGCAGCGGCGGCATGGGCGGCCGGGCGCGCGGCGGTGGCCGGCTCGGTGGAAAGAGTGCGCGCGGTGGCGGAAAGAGCGGCAGTGGGCATGGCGGCCGCTGGGCGAGTGGTCTGCGCAACCGAGGCCTTGGCTGCGACAGGGCCTGGGGTTGCCTGGGAGCCAGATCGGCGGGGGG